TTTCTCTCTAGAATATCCAAAACTATCAAAAAGACTTACTTTTTTAATTAAATAGGACTGTCAACTTAAATTGTAATTCTGATCTACAGTTTTCATTTTTAAACAAGCATTACATATCCTATTGGGTCTAGCTAGTAGCACACTCAAATTTAACAGATTTTAGTTTGACCTCATTTGTTTCTTTTCTTTTTTGAGACAGAGCCTCAAGCAATTCCCCTGGGTAGAGTGGCATGGCATCACAGCTCACAGCAACCTCCAACTCCTGGGCTCAAGCAAGTCTCCTGCCTCAGCCTCCCAAGTAGCTGGGACCACAGGCGCCTGCCACAACGCCCGGCTATTTTTTGGTTGCAGCCATCATTGTTGTTTGGCAGGCCTGGGTTGGACTCGAATCCACCACCTTAGGTGTATGTGGCTGGCGCCTTAGCCACTTGAGCCACAGGTGCCAAGCCATTTATTTCTTTAAATATAAAATTTTACCATTTTTCAAAGAAAAATTAGACTTTCTCTTTGGGTAGTAAATGCAGAAACCAAAGAACCAACTTTTTGAGCATCTGTTAAATAATTTATTTTGTTTATCTTTTTCTTTTTCATTTTCTTTTTTTGAGACAGAGTCTCACTTTGTTACCCTGGGTAGAGTGCCATGGCATCATAGCTCACAGTAACCTAAAACTCTTGGGCTCAAGTAATCCTCTTGCTCTGGCTAGTCTCAAACTCATAAACTCAGGCAATCCACCCCCATCAGCCTCCCAGAGTACAAGGATTACAGGCATGAGCCCCCTCACCCAGCCTAGTTTGTTTTTCACTGAACATAGCTATGGCCCTGTCAATATTTTTAAAAGTCAATGTGAGGCCAGGCACAGTGGCTCATGCCTATAATCCTAGCACTCAAAAAAAAAAAGAAAGAAAGAAAAAAGTCAATGTGATAATAAATTGTCCAATATTTCATTAATACATTAACATAAATCCTTTGGCACATTTATCAAAAAGGATATAATCCACAACATGAGCAAAGTATATAGTTTTAGTATAAAATATTAATTAATAGTCACATTATTTATATAGCAAGGTTTTTCCACTGGGCTTCACCTTCTTATGAATTGCTGACACCTACTAAATACCAGTATGCCCTCCAATCATAGCAATCATAAATACACACTTCCAAAAGTTTCTAGCTAAAATGGACTAATTTATAATGCAAAAAAAAGCACCCAAAATATCCAACAATAGAATCACAACACACTTAGAACACACATTAGTCTTTAAGTATTACTGTAAAAAGCAATACAAAAGGGTGGCACCTGTGGCTCAGTGGGTAAGGTGCTGGTTCCATAGACCGAGGGTGGCAGGTTCAAACTCAGCCCCGGCCAGCTAAGAGAACAAAACTGCCATGATAACTGCAACAAAAACAACAACAACAACAAAAACTTGGGCGTTGTGGCAGGGGCCTATAGCCCAGCTACTTGGGAGGCTGAGGCAAAAGAATTGCTTAAGCCCAAGAGTTGGAGGTTGCTGTGAGCTGTAACACCACAGCACTCTACGGAGGGTGACAAAGTAAGACTCCGTCTCAAAAAAAAAGGAGGAGGGCAATATAAAAAAAATGCTCACTAGAGGTTAAATGAGGAGTTTACAGTCACAGCGGGAGGATTCTTTTGTTTACACTGTATTACAATAAATGCATATAAGAAGGACTAGAGGGAAATACCTGGAAATGGAGAGAGGTTTTGACATAGTAGAATTATAAGGGGTACTTCTTTTTCTGTTTTCTATAAAGTACCTGTTCTGGTTATATTAATTTTTTTTACTAAGTAAACTTAAACAAGTAGGTTAATTCATCTTATCTTTCTTTCTCTCTCTTTCTTAGGACCAGAAAAGTGAAGGAAACCAGGATGCAAAGAAATTAACACAGGTAAAAATCTCTGGTATTAGAAATCAGGACAGGGTCACCCTTTGGGCATTGGGCAGTTGAAGGTAGACACAAGGAACTTCCAGGGTGCAGATAATCCTGCTCAGTGTGCTGGTTACACAGGAATATTTACCTCGCAAAAGTTCATCAAGCTGTACACTTATGTGCACTTTTTCTATATGTAAATTATACTTCCAATAAAAAATTTACTGAATAAAAACCACATTTCTTACTTGTGTAAAAAGTGTTTTCATCACCTGTAAGATTTATTGTGCAAAAGGTTTAAACAGTAATTCTGGATACTTATTAACTGGTAGCACAAAAAGGGATGACAAATTACAAACAAGAATGTTTCCATGAATTTTTTTTTTTGAAAGAGTTTTACTTTGTCACCCTTAGTAGACTGCCAGGTGTCATAGTTTATAGTACTTGTGTCAGCCTCCCAAGCAGCTGGGACTAAGACGCCCACCACCATAACACCCAGGTACCATGTCCAGGTATTTTCAATGACAATGACTTGCTCTTGCTCAGACTGATCTCCAACTCCCAAGCTCAAGCAATCCATCCACCTTGGCCTCCCAGAGTGCTAGGACTACAGGTGTGAACCACCAAGCCTAACCCACATATTTCCAATTTTAAAACAACTGAATTTCTGCTCAGTTTCTAAAGATTAATTATGAAATAGTTTATGTGACACTGCAAAACAATTCCCAATACAACATACTACTATTGCATTTTATCCATTTAAGCCCAAATTTGCAAAAACATAGGACCAAGTAATGACAATGTCATTACAAAGCAGAAAATCTGTTAATAAAGCATGTCAGTATTGCTGCAGAACAAGAATAAGGGATCTAATGTTACTCTTATGGAAAAACGTTAGGATTTGTTAAATAAATCCTTTAAACATTAGGATTTTGCTGGCCTATATATGTTACATTTATGCCACAAATTTGAGAAATGTATTACTATTTGTGACCAACTAACTCCATTTTAATGTTCCATACCCATAAGAGCTTCATATTCTCTTTGATAAAACTCTAGTAACTCTAGTATTTAAAAAAAAAAAAAACAGCCCATTACTAAGTGTCAGTAACTGGCAACATAGTCTCACTCAAACTCAGGTGTCCACCATATAAATAGTATTGTTACTAATTAAGAATATTCTGATATAGATGTGTGGTGGCTCAGGCCTATAATCCTAGCACTCTGGCAGGCCAAGGTAAGTGGATGGCTTGGGTTCAGGAGCTGGAGACCAGTCACAGCAAGAGCTCTACAAAAAATAGAAAAACTAGCTGAGTGTCATGACAGGAGCCTGTAGTCCCAGCTAATTAGGAGGCTGAAGCAGAGGATCACTTGAGCCCAAAGATTTTGAGATAGACTCTGTCTCAAAAATAAATAAATAAATAAATAAGAATATTCTGATATATTTGTTTTCTATCTATGAGATACTTACTACCACAACCTGGAAAACAAAGTTAGTTTGCAAAGGTTTGTGTACAAAATATTTTACTGATTGACTGTGATTCCTGAAGGATACCAGCACTTCTCCAAATACTTCTCCATTATTCAGAAATGTTGTAAGTACTTAAATTGAGATAGCTGAAAGTATTTTCAAAAGTTAAAGATATTCAAAGCTATAATGCCACGGCTAATTGATCACAATGTATGCGTGTGCACATATGCAGTATTCTTCCAAAAAAATATTACTTGAATCTCATAATGAAGAAACAATCCATATAAACTCAAGACTATGAGTTATTATACAAGACAAAATGTATCATGAAAGATTTTTTTTTTAAGGTCCTGGGAGCTGTTCTGGATTAAATGAGATAACGAAATGGGTTACTTGTAGCTTTAAAAGGAAGGAGACCATTTACATATACCTGCTCAAAAGAAAAAAAAAACTTTATTAGGATAACAGAAAACATTCATCATCAACTGTTACAAAAAATGGGAAAATGCAGGTGGAGGGAACATGGATGGTCTATGTTATCATCTTTCAACTTTTCTGTATGCATGAAATATTTCAAAATCAAAAGTAGAGAAAAAACTTAAAAGTAAAATTTTAATATCCAAATTAACTTGTATTTATCTATGCAGTAGCACTGCCATAACTTATAAGAAAATTAAAGAAAAATAAGTCTATAGGCATCACTATAAGATAAATCCAAAGCAAGTTTAAATATATATATGTGTGTGTATATATATATATGGCAACAAATACCCATCCCTTCAAAGGATAATGAACAAAAAACGGAAGCTATTAAGATCTTAAAACCTTTTTTTAAAAAGAGAGATTTATGCGAACATGAATATGAACCGGCAAAGCCCTTACAAGTTTTTTGAGGAAATAACATTGTACGTGGGAAAACATTAAACCACCTCGAAATACACTATTTGGGAAAAAGCTGCGACCTGTGAATGCCAGCCAAGATCGAGACTTCAGAAAGTTCAAAACAAGGATAAACCTACACAGACTTACACCATTTCTGAAAGGTGTGGGACACTGTGACCTTCGAGAAGGAATATTTAATCTATTACCAAAAACCGGTGATCTTTAAGAACGTGGCTGGGCTCGGATAAACCAAGATGCTACGCTAAGTTTGCGAAACCGCCCTGGGGTGCAAATACACCCCTAATCCCATCTTTGTCATGAGCCTCAGGCTTTCTCCTCAGCAGTAACGGCCTGACACTTAGGCCTTAAAAACCGGACAGCTGCTCAGGCGCAGTTCCTGCGAATTTCAGAATGCAGAAATGCTAGCAAGCTTTTGCCATGAGGACTACTCTGGGCCCACCTGCGGCCATCTTAAGTTGGGGGCGGAGGGGCACTGAATTCGAAGACCTGGCAGCGAACACCAGTCCCGGAGACTCCGAAAAGGCAACTGCCCTGTATCTTTTGTCAGAGCTCGTTGCAAAGGTTAACCCGCAAAGCCCGACAAATAGGAAGAGCAGACCCGCGGGGCACCGGTGCCCTTATCAAACATGGGCACCAAGGTAAGCCGGTGGTCACGTGACAGGCCCCGCGCGCCCGCGCCGCGGTTCCCGAGGTCTGTATGGCGCCCGCGCCCCTCCCCCACCGAGCTCCAGCACTTACTCCGGGGGGTAGAGCCGCAGCTCCTCGATTTCTCCTAGGAAGGAAAAAAGCGTACGCATCTGCTCGCTGGTCACGGCCGACGACAGATTCGTCACCTGAATCACCGCCGTAGGGGTGAGGCCGAAGCCTAAGCCCAACCCGAAGCCGCCGCCGCTGTTCATCCTGATCCCGCTGTCGCTGCCTTCCCGCTCCCCAACGTCTACGACGCGTCAGCGACCGAGCCGGGAAAGCGGAAAACGCGCGGCCCCGAGCGCGCTCCCGCGGGCCAGTGCACGGCGCCGGGCAGGTCTAGCCGCCGATTTCGCAACTCCGCTGCTCCTGGGGCTGCGCGCGCCGGCCGGAAGCGTCGCCCGGGCAACCAGGCCGGTCTCGCGCGACTGTGGCCTCAGGCTCTAAAAGGGTCTCTGGGACGTTAGCCGTAGCTTTTACTGTCAACCTAGAATTTTTTCCTTGTTTTAGTTTTCCCTCAAACCCGACGAAATTCTTCTCCTGTCAGTGTGGGAGACTCAACTTTTTCCAGTTTGCACTCTCAGCCGGACTGGGAAGTCCGGCCGCCTGCCCTGCTGGTGGGGGCTGTAAAAGAGAAATGAAGAGCTGCAGATTTTTTTTTTTTTTGAGACAGAGCCTCAGTTTGTTGTCCTCAATAGAGTGCTGTGGCGTCATACCTCACAGCAACCTCAAACTCTTGGGCTCAAGCGATTCTCTTGGTTCAGCCTCCCAAGTAGCTGGGACTACAGGCGCCCGCCACAACGCCCTGCTACTTTTTAGAGGGGAAGGCTCGTTCTGGCTCAAGCTGGTGTCGAACTCGTGAGTTTAGGCAATCCGCCCGCCTTGGCCTCCCGGGGTGCTAGGATTACAGGCCTGAGCCACCGCCCGCGCCTGGCCCAAGAGTGACATTATCGTAAAGACGCAGCTCCTCCGCCCCAACTAGTTTTGGAATTGGCAGGTGTCCTACTTGGGAAAAACTTCAAAAATTTTACAAAATGTGTAGGTGCAGATTGAATTAAAGGAAAGACTTAGGAAGACTCTTGTTATTTTTTCGCCCATTCCACAGGTATTATTATGTCCCAGACACTTTATTTTAGAGACAAAGTCTCACTTTGTCGCCCTCGGTAGAGTGCTATCGTATCACAGCTCATAGCAACCTCAAACTCCTGGGCTTAGGCAATTCTCTTGCCTCAGCCTCCCGAGAAGTCAGGACCATAGACGCCCATCACAACGCGCAGCTATTTTTTTGTTACAGTTTGGCCAGGGCAGGGTTTGAACCCACCACCCTCGGTATATGGGGCCCGCGCCCTACCCACTGAGCCACAGGTGCTGCCCATTTATTTTTTATTTTATTTATTTATTTTTGAGACAGAGTCTGAAGCTGTGGCCAGCATCACAGATCACAGCAACCTTAAACTCTTGGGCTTAAGCGATTCTCTTGCCTCAACCTCCCAAGTAGCTGGGACTACAGGTGCCACAACGCCCGGCTATTGGGGGGGGGGGGCAGTGGGTTGCAGTTATTGTTTAGCAGGCCCAAGCCGGATTCGAACCCACCACCCTTGGCATATGTGGCTGGCACCCTGCCAACTGAGCTACTGGCATCTCCTTGTCCCAGACACTATTAGACAAGGTCACATAGGCTCAGCATCCATAGCATATGTGGTTATGGTACCAGCCATATACACCGAGCGTGGTAGGTTCAAACTCTGACACAGGCCAGCTACACAACATCAACTGCAAAAAAAAAAAAACCAACAAACTGGGCCTTGTGGTGGGCCCCTGTAGTCCCACCTACTTGGGAGGCTGAGGTGAGGCAAGAGAATCCCTTGAGCCTAAGAATTTGAGGTTCCTGTGAGGCCATGGCACTCTACCGAGGGCCACATAATATAAAAAAAAGAGGGACCTCCACATAAATTAGAACCTAGACTCAGTGCCTGTAGCTCAAGAGGCTAAGATGCTGGCCACATACACCAGAGCTGGCAGGTTCAAATCCAGCTTGGGCCTGCCAAACAGCAATGGCAACTACAACTGAAAAATGGCTGAGTTGTGGCAGGCACCTGTAGTCCCAGCTACTTTGGAGGCTGAGGCAAGAGAATCACTTAAGCCCAGGAGTTGGAGGTTGCTGTGAGCTGTGATGCCCTGGCACTCTAACCCAGGGTGACAGCTTGAGACTCCATCTCAAAAAAAAAACAAAACTTGGAACCTAATAAGAGTCAAATTGCAGTATCTTAATCTAGGGCAGCTGGCCCCAAAGAGCCCTCCCCAGATCCCTAAAGGACCCCGAATCTTCTTGGTGGGTCAAGTTTGTTGACCTTTAATCACACTGTTAACATTTATACTGATGGTATAAAAGATTACATTTCTGTCTTGAATAGCAACAATCAAGGCAGTGGCCCAAACTGTACTCATTGTATTGTTTATTCTTTAAGATTTTAAAATAAATCAGTTTCACTTAAAGAATGTCTTTGACAGGTGAGTTCTCACCTAATGGGCCCAGTGTAAGGGTATACTGAACACCTCCTGGGAGTGGGACACAACAACAGGAACCTCACCTAACAACACAAACATTGTAACCTAATTGTTTGTAATCTCTTATTTATCTGAAATTTTAAAAAGGGAGTGGAAGGAGTAAAAATTGTATTAATTTTACCCAATCTTCACCCTAGCATACACATCTTTTAAATATGTAAAAAAATTGGAAACTACTGCTACTGTATGCCCTAATAGGATAGTTATCTCCAGAAAAAAGCACTTGTGTAATTGATGTTTTTAGGCAAAAATCCAAGTTTTATTAAACCTGTATGTTACATTAAGCTTAATAGTCTTCCCGTACTTAAAGACTTTTCTGCTAAAATCACCACTGATACATGAATAAATGTATATTTGACATCATGCAATAAAATGTGTCAACATTTGGATGATGCCTCCAACTCAATGAACAACTATTTTCCAAATGACCAGTGAGTACTATTACAAAATTTAATAGATTGTTGCACATGCAGAATAGACTAAAAGATTTCAATAAGTTTGGGGTGGTGTCAAGGAAGAATACCTACGATTATCTGAAAAGGCTATAAAAATTGTTATTCATTTTTCAACTCCTTATCTTTAATGAGTTTCAAAATATCAACTATCTCAGGTTTAATTACTAATATGTAAATATGGATAGATGACCCATAAGTTAAAAAGTTTTTCAGGGTCTGCAATAATTAATAATTCTTAAGAGTGTAAAGGCATCCAAAGACCAAAACATTTGAAAACTATTACCCTAGGGACAAATTAAGGGGAATTATAAAAACATAAAAGAGTCACTTAAACTCCATTTTGTCTTTTTGTTTTGTTTTTTAGACAGAGACTCACTCTGTTGCCCTGGGTAGAATGTTGTGACATCATAGCTCACAGCAACCTCAAACACTTGGGCTCAAACAAATTCTTGCCTCACATTCTCTAGTCGCTGGTACTACAGATGTACGCCACAAAACCCAGCTAGGCTTATAGGTTGAGCCACCAACCCTGACCCTAAACTTAGTTCTAATGGAAGACTTACTAAAAAAGATGTTGCTTGAGCTGAATCTTGAACAAATATGTATTTTACATACTCCGTTCTATGCACTGAGCATGTGGAATATACAAAGGCAGAAAGGTATGAGAGCCCAAGTGAGGTCCAGAATTCTTAAAATTTATCACTGCTGGACTGAAGGTTGCAAATGACTAGAAATGCCTGCAAAAGGATAAGCCTGGGGCCAGGCACAGTGGCTTACACCTATAAATCTAGCACTCAAGGAGGCCAAGGACTGTGTGGATTGTTAGAGCTCCAAAGTTCAAGACTAGCCTGAGCAAAAGCAAGATCACACCTCTACCAAAAATAAAAAAATTACCCAGGCATCGTGGCAGATGCCTGTAGTTCCAGCTGCTCAGTAAGCTGAGGCAGGAGGTTTTCTTGAACCCACGAGTTTCAGGTTGCTGCGAGCTAGGCTGATACCATGGCACTCTAGCCTGGGCCACAGGGTAAGACTTTGTTTCAAATAAATAAGTTAAGAAATAAATTGATAAAGTCTACATGATCATGGTATGTAATGTTTATTATATGTTGCAAATATATAATTTATATGTAAATATGCAATTTATAATTTGGTGGCAAAAGCTTCGAAATGATACCATGTTATTCTTTCAATTTCTAGACGGTCAGTCATAATATTCCCTATTTTAATCTTGATATTGGTAATTCATGCCTTCTTTTTCCTCTTTGGCCTAGCTAAAGATTTATCAAGTTTGTTACTCTTTTCAAATAAGCAACTTTTTTTTTTTTTTGAAACAGAGCCTCACTTTGTCAATCCTGGGTAGAGTGCAGTGACATCATAACTCACAGCAACCTCAAACTCCTGGGCTCAAATAATCCTCTTGCCTCAGCCTCTCTAGTAGCTGGGACTATAGGCACCTGCCACAACGCCTAGCTATTTTTAAAGACGGGATCTCAGTCTTGCTCAGTCTGGTCTCTAACTCCTGAGCTCAAGCAATCCACACACCTCAGCCTCCCAGAGTACTAGGATTATAGGTATGAGCCACTGTGGCAGGCCTCAAATAAGCAACTTTTAGTTTCATAATTTTCTCTATTATTAGTTTTCTGTTTTCTTTTTTATTGATTTCTACTTTGATATTATTTCCTTGCTACTCCTTAACTTGGGCTTAATTTGCTCCTCTAGTTTTTCAAGGTGGAAGTTTATGTTATTGAGAACTTTTGTTTTCTAATTCCTCTGAGCACAGTAAGAAATAATACTCCATTTAGAGTGTTGGGTGAAGCTGTTTAGAGGTAGGTGTCTCAGCAGAAGCATCAGGATACAAAGCTATATTTCTCTCTGTTATTGATTTATAATTTTTTTTTTTTTTTTTTTTGTAGAGACAGAGTCTCACTTTGTTGCCCTTGGTAGAGTGCTATGGCATCACATAGCTCACAGCAGCCTTCAACTTCTGGGCTTAAGCGATTCTCTTATTTCAGCCTCCCGAGTAGCTGGGACTACAGGTGCCCGCCACAATGCCCGGCTATTTTTTGGTTGCAGTTCAGCCAGGGCCAAGTTTGAACCTGCCACCCACTCACTGAGCCACAGGTGCCACCCAATTTATAATTTTTTATTAAAAAATATACTATGAATAATTTTAACTCTTTTAAACATATGAGACTTTTTTAATGGCCCAGCATATGTTCTACCTTGGAGGTTGTTCTTTTGTGTACACTTGAAAAGCATATTCTACTAGTGTTGCCTGGTGCGTTTTGTAAATCTTACTGAGGTTGATA